TTTACGAAGTTCTCGGATCACCACATGGATGTACGGCACTGTACTTGAGAGTAGACAGATGATCTCAACCTCTAATGTACTTAACTATTTGTCGTTGAAGCGTTGTAAGTTAGTAAATGAGCAAAGATCAGAAGAAGAATAGTTAAGGCACAGATTTTCGGCGTTCGCCATCATCGGGTGGGTAGAGCGGGGAAAAAAATTTAAAAAAACGGGAAAAGGAGATAACACATGTTTCCAAGCCCAGTCACTGCCGGCGCGGGACTCTGAGTCGTCGAAGGTTCTTGTCCCCAAGAACTCTTCTGTTCTTCGCTCACCTGCCAGCATACAAACGTTGAACAGCAGATAGGTCACTGCCATTAGGACTTAACGTCATCTATCTACTGAAGGCAATCCGACGTAAAAATCGCGGATGTACTCTACTCCGTCAGTATAACATCGGACAGAACTGCGAAAACAACAACGCCCTTGCAATGACATCAGACGCATGCACTTTTGGCCACTCGTCATCTAAACGTCACCGGATAGCCTCCAGCAAACGGGCCGAAATTAGCAGTATCGCGAAACTCCGTTAATAACGCATCCAATCTCGACAAGCGACGACAGTCGCCATGACCTCAGCTGTAGATTTGGCAAGATTTGGCAACTGGACCTCTAGGCTCTAAAGGTCCTCGTATAACATCGAGGAAATTAGGGACTAACATGTTGTCAGGCGTTACTCCATTTATAATGCACTAAATGTAAATCTTAAGACTTGCATGCGTTCGTCATGACGTGAGGCTTTTTTTATTGCGCTATTTGCAATCGGGCATTTAAAGGTTACCATACAGCCTCCAGGCAGTTAGGGGTCAAAACGCGGCCACACACCGCGCGGAAAGTAATGTATGGGATGCAAAATTGGATTCCATCGCGTGCTTGCCACAGCCTCAGTTAATTGCACTTTAGACACCTAATTCTAGAGGTCATCGTTTATTTTCCACGTACTTAAAGGGAGAGCGCGGTCACGCATTACTCCGTCAATAAGGCAGGCAATCGACATTAAACGTACTCACCTGCTTGAAATCGCTTATAATGCTTACTGTTACAGCATGACCTCTAAAGGTCACCGCTCGGCCCCCGGCAATCGGGGGGCACAAAGGCATTACTCCGCAAGCTAGCTGACCGCCAATGTCCCGGAGGTTTCACCGTGACTTTTAAAGGCGATATTGCCGGTGATGCGCTTGCCTGAGGTGATTTGAGCACGTGCTCTTTCTGAATTTGGATTCGATGCATAAGTGACGGAATTATGCGTGATGACGTTTTCACCGGCAACATCTGCAGGCTGTACTCTAAGGTGTCATGGTACAATTTTTTAGAATACGGGGAGCCGGTGATTACTAAGTGCGCAATGACGAAAACGATGAGACAGTAAAGTAGTCTTTTCTCGCAAATAAATGAACAGTTCAGCCTCCGCTAGATGATTAATATTTTACTATTCCTTACACACCAGCGATGGTGCTGCCACCGTGCAACAAGAAGGAAATCTACCTGAAAGCTGTGATAACGGTAATTTTCGCGCATTGCGCTATGCTGCAAGATGAAATCCGCAAGCATAATCTATAAATATCTTGCTTATTTCGTTCAATGGTGCATTGCGTTGATAGAAGATGACAACCAAAAACAGTACGCAATGGTGTCCATTTTACATGATTGGGAACTTAGAGGATCTCTAAGTCGCTTCTTCCATGCGTCACCAAAGCTGTAACCTAAATCTTTAGAATAGTTGGGGGGCGAGGGGGGGTGGCGGGGGCCCCTCAAGTCAACAAAATGACAGCCATGACACCAAGCGCTCGTACAATGCTGCATCACACCAAACATGATAGCTTCGTAACAAACTTGCGTTTTACACGCCACGAAATCTCCTCGGTATGTTAAGATCCAGGCGCCTTCACTATTGGGAACACGTTCGAGGACCGGACGAAGATCACGCCGTGCCGTTGGCATCCTGCGTAAATGCGTGGAGTAGCTGTAAATAAGGGTAAGGTTCGGCAATCCTAACGGTTCAGATTCACTCCCAATTTTCGATAGCCGCTGATCGGACTAGAGTCGTTCCGCTTTGATTCGGATCCGGAATAGATCTCACTTAACTAAAATTAAGCATGTTTGGGTGTGTCTTAGCGCACGCGCTCCTGTTTGGAGCCCCTCTCCGTGCATGTCTTTCAGACAGGACATTTCGGGCCTTCATTGATAGTCCCTGGGTTCCCGTTCCATTGTGGGTGACCTCTCCGTACGCCGGCCCGTGATGTCTTTCAGACAGGACATTTCGGGCCCTTATTGATAGTCGCTGAGCTCCCGTCCCCGTGCGGGTGAAAGGTCAGCTTCAATAGTGATGAGCTGATGTGATATCGGGTCATACAAGCTGATATGACGTAGGGCATGCGTCAACTTTGAAACACGACATGGAGAACGTGCACGAGACGAGGTGGTCGCACGGCCCTGTCCCATAATTTATAAACGAAGAGTGCCAGAAATATGATTTAAATACTGAAAGGTAGAGACACTTCTCAGTCAGCTCACACACGTATAGAAGGGCGACTTCAGTCATGTGACGGATGCGACTACATGCACTGATGCCTTCCCTCTGCGGTCCCAGTCAAATGATACCGCAAGCCGCAGCCACGATGTACGTTGGCCGGATCTCTGAGCATTTCGATCCCTCCTTCAATTGCACATTTACAGCATCTAGACCTTGGTATTGCATACAAGACACCCTGGGATTAGATGAGATATGCATACACATGTTTTTCCCTTTTTCGTTTGGACCATGTGTTTTCGTTGGCTATAAATTTGATTCCATTCTACAATACATTTTCATTAGTTTAAAGGAAATATATTGAAACGTCTAAGCGGCCCACATTGCTGTTCTTACGAGGGCCGCATCTTATGCTCATTTGTACTGGTTTAGAAATCTATACTAGCATTGCCTAAGTAGCTCTTGCCCATTGGCATGGATATCAATACTGGTCCTCGTTACCTTGTCTAGTTGATCGCTTGCCTCCACTTTTCGATCTCTACGACCTATCTAAAGTTCGCAAGGCGTCAAAAGCATGCGATTCACACGAAAACAAAAACAAGGGGCATACACACCCTGTATGGTCTCAGGAAGTCCCTTACACATTGCATGGGTTTGAAATGTCACAAATGCACAAGGCGCCCAAATATTGGTGGTGGAAATGATGCTTTGTGGTGGGGATGATACTTTGTGGTAAACGTGCCCGTTTTTTAAGTTTCCGTCACTTTATCTTGTCCCTTGAAATGGCCGCGATTTACGTCGTTTGAGCTCGTGCGCAGCTTGCATTTTTTAAATGCGTTTGAGCGAAGTATATAAGTGAAAACTAGGCTCATGAACAAAATAATTACATTCTGTTCATGAAGAGCTTTAAGAGGGTGGAAATCTCCCACTCAAAGATAAAATACTGGCGGGTTAATTGTTTTTTTTGGATCAACAGCAATGCAATGTCTTAACCAATCAAAATTCACGGGTTCAAGTCTGTACCTTCCAATTCTCACCAAACTTTCTCATGCGGCCCACATCGAATCTGGTGGACTGGATCGAATAAGCCGCCCTGTGTTGTTTATCCTACAAACTGGCGTTTTCAACAGTGTTGGTAGTCATATGCGCAGGTATTTCACGTTGTCAGGCGCGACGCCAACATTTCAGTATCGACGGCCACAGCACACGAGCCCGAAGGTGCGGGCCCGAGAGGATCTGATGCGCTGGTAGTTGGTGTATTCGCATCTCTTCAGCAGTCGACTGTAAACGTGGTGAAGGCACACACAGACACCTATGGTTATGGCGGCAGGTCGTGCCGCGCCGTAATACACTCCGTCCTCGAGCTCACCTCCGGGGGCGACCAGCCGCCCCGCCCGCAACATCCTCAGCCTGTTCAGTCTGCCGATCGGAGGCGAGCCGCCACAGGCTGCGTCTGAGGTAACGTAATATCATGCGTTCCCGAGCAGCGGATGTCCAGACCGGCCGTCAACCACTCCACCGACACTGGTCAGCAGCACACACGCATTTCACAGCGCCGAGCCACAGACGAGGCCAACAACACAACGGTCGAGGTCGGAGTCACACTGACGGCCTCCTCACGCACACGCCGTGTCCAGGACAGAATAGCAGTTGTGAATATGACGCCTCTACGCGTGCAAAATAAATACCCCAGATGGATCTGGATGCGGGCTACGCCATCGCTACCTCCGCACTGCAGGGACAGACCACAACCCACCAGTCATGCCACTGACGAATCCTTCGCGTTACTTCAGTCCTGAGCTGCTTGTCAGTCGTGGCTGAAGCATCACGGCAGGGAATGTTACATACGATACGACCCCAGCAACGCGGCGCGGCCGACCACGGGTGCAGCACGCACGAAGGTCTGGCGACGAGCCGTCGACGCCGGCGCAGCGAGCTGCCCGGCGGCGAGATCTCCAGACCAGGGCCGGGGTGACCGCTGCTGGAGCGAGTCCCGGCACCGCTCTCCAGTCCCAGGGCCGCCGCGCACCCCGGCGCACCAGTCCTCGCTGCCGACACACGCTGAATGATTTGGTTCTGCTCAGTCCAGAACGTTTGCGGGTGCCACCTCAGAACACCGCACAGAAGCAGAAGACTTGCTAATCCGGGTGCGGCGCATTGCAAGTCCCGTTTCTAATCACTGCGTCCCGAATTCCTGGTAGTTCCTGAGATTTGCTCCAATGAACGATCAAGCTCTCAAGAGGAACATCTCGCCTTCGTGTTACAAGGCTCGCTGTACCGCCCATTCTTCCGCCGCAAATCGCGCCAGAGCACCTGGACAGCTATCGAACATCTGGACGACGCAACACGCCGCTTTAGTCTAGTCATCGCCACGACACTCATGGTCGAGGGCAGCCACACCTACACGCATACCAACACGCACACCCGTCTTGTAACCAGAAGTTAGCTGTAGACCTGAAAATCACCTCAGAATGTGTGCGAACCTCACACTCACATTCGCTGTTGACCTCAGCTCCTCCACGCCGGGAGAGACCTCACTTCATTATCCAGCAGCAAGTCACAGGCCTTCACCATTCCAAACATAAGGCACCATCCCAGGCCAAAGAATGCACTTGAAAAGAACGCCACCGTCACCAAATCACTGCCATGACCGCGTGAGGACGTGGCGGGCGCCCGCTGGCAGAGCTCGCTCGAAACCGCCCGCCCATCGGTGAGGACAGCGGCCGCTGCTGTGGAGTGCGCGGCCGTCCAGCCAGGTCGGGCCGGGTCGGGCCGAGCGGGGCGGGGGCGGGAGGCGCTCCCGCAGCTGCCGCCGCCGGCTCTACACCTCGGTGTAGAACTCGGGCCGCTCGATGCCGATCAGGCGGAACACCAGAGGCGCCGTGTAGATGATGTCGAACCCGACCGCCGCGTACGTCATGAACTTGTAGCTCAGCTCGACGATGACGAACTGGCGCTGGCTGACGTTGGCGCGGCGCAGCGTCACGTCCTGCTGGTTGAGCCGCAGCAAGGCGCACACCGTGGCGTACGACAGGCTCTTGAAGATGGCGCGCGTGGCCAGCACCGAGCTGAGCCCGATCGAGCTGCGCGCCAGCACCTCGCCCCACATCTCGTACGTCGGCCAAATGATCTCGTAGGGCGGCGACGAGGTGGCCGCGCTGATCAGGTTCTTGCTGTAGTTCATCCAGGCGCCGCTGTAGATCCCCAGTACGACGGCGCAGATGATGACCGTGTCGCCTCTGCCAGGCGGCGTGGCGTCACGGTCCGGCGGCATCGCGGACGGGCCACAAGGGGAGTGCAGACAACAGGGACCGCACGGAACAGTAGGCGGGAGGTGTCCAAAACCGGCCGCGATCATGCAACGTCTTCAGGATTTCCGGGGTCTCGGAATCCTTTATCTCATGAAAATTCCCATAGCCTTAGTTTCTAAGGAATGAAGGCAAACCTTCTACTGCAAAAAGGCATTGCGATGCGAATCGCCGCGAGGTCTCATTTTACATGAAGTGCCGTGAGCTATACTAGCGTGCCCAGCAGCTGGCACACGTGACGCACGTAGCGACGTGGACGTGGCGCGCGCACTCTTACCTGGCAGGAGTCCACGTGTTGCCGGCCGGGTACAGGAGCACGGACAGCGCGATGAACACGCTGAGCGTGATGGGCGAGTACGAGTTGGTCACCAGATACTCGTCGACGGCGTCGATGTAAGGCAAGATGAGACCGCAAAGGATGAGCACGCCGAACAGCAGGCCAGCCACCACGTCCTGCCGGGCAGAAGGCGCACGTCACACACGCCCGCCGGTCAGACGGGCAGGACCGGCACAGCTAACCCGGCGTGGACCGACGCGGAAGGCACGGAGCGAAACACGCGGGAACGAAACAGACAGGTGCAGGTTAGGTTAGGCTAGTTGGACCCAGCGGGCCGTCGATGGAGACGGTCACTTTACACCGACGAACCACACAGTCGGGCATACACCGGGCCGACGTCGGGGGCGCCAGTGAGGACGTCACAGACGACACCGACAGAGGCAGGGACTGCCTACAACCAGACAGGGCCGACACAGGCAGGGACTGCCTAGAACCAGACAGGGCCGACACAGGCAGGGACTGCCTAGAACCAGACAGGGCCGACACAGGCAGGGACTGCCTAGAACCAGACAGGGCCGACACAGGCAGGGACTGCCTAGAACCAGACAGGGCCGACACAGGCAGGGACTGCCAAGAACCAGACAGGGCCGACACAGGCAGGGACTGCCTAGAACCAGACAGGGCCGACACAGGCAGGGACTGCCTAGAACCAGAC